GAAATCGGTTCTGGAGGCAATCCTTAAAAATTTGATTCATATTGGTGTTTTATATCTTTATTTTATTAAACTAAAAAGGGCTATTGTAATAATAATAATAAAAAAAACAAAGACCAGTATTATCTGTTCAGTAGGGAAGAGTTATATTCTCCTTGGTAAGCTAGAAAAAGGTGGAATATAGAGAACATCCCCACTAAATGGATCTGTAGCTGGCTGGCAAACCGTACTCAATGAGTAGTCCTCAGTGCTACATCCACATGGAGAGAAGTAAGCAGAGGGGTACCACAAGGTTCCATCTTAGGCCCAGTACTCTTCAATATCTTTCATTAATGACTTAGATGAGGAAATTGAAGGAAAACTCATCAAATTTGCAGATGACACCAAACTGGCAGGAGTAGCCAACACCCTAGAAGACAAACTCAGGATCCAAAAAGATCTTGACAAACTTGAACAATGGACCCTGTCCAACAAAATGAGTTTCAATGTGGAAAAAAGCAAAGTTTTACATTTAGGCAGAAAAAAATCAAAGGTACAAGTATAAACTGAGCAAGACCTGGCTTAAAAACAGTAACTGTGAGAGGTACCTTGGAGTCCTAGTGGATGATCACTTGACCATGAGCCAGCAGTGTGAGCAACAGCCAAAAAAGCTAATACAATCCTGGGTTGTATAAACAGAGGCATAGAATCAAGATCATACAAAGTATTAGTATCGCTTTATAAAACCCTAGTAAGACCACACCTGGAATACTGTAATCAGTTTTGGTCACCATACCACAAAAAAGATGTTGAGATTTTGGAAAAAATACAGAGAAGAGCAGCTAAGATGATCAAAGGCCTGGAGACTAAAACATACGAAGAATAGCTGCAGGCCTTGGGTTGGCTAGTCTAAAGAAAACAAGAAATAGGGGAGACATGATAGTAGTATTCCAGTACTTGAGGAGCTGTCACAAAGAAGAGGGTCGTGTTATTCACCAAAGCACCAGAGGGCAGGACAAGAAACAATGATTGGAAACTGATCAAAGAGAGAAGCAACCTAGAATTAAGGAGAAACTTCCTGACAGTGAGGACAATTAAACTGTGGAACAGCTTGCCTTCAGAAATTGTGAGTGCTCCATCACTGGAGATTTTTAGGAAGAGGCTAGACAGTCACTTGTCTGAGATGGTATAAGTTCTCCTGCTTGAGCAGGGGGCTGGACTAGAAGACCTCCAAGGTCCCTTCCAGCTCCTGTTCTGTTCTGTTCTAGATATTTCAGTAGCTCTATCTGGCAAGGCAATCTGGAAGATGAAATTATTGTAATATAGAAAATGTCATTCCAAATGTTCACAAATCCTTGTCATCAATGCTTTTATACACTCTTACAGTGTAAGACAATACTTTTAGAATACATTTCATTTTTAAAGATTACAGTTCTGATAAAAAAAGTATTAATCTCTTTTAGATTTTCTGAATTTCTGTGTATCATTGCCACAAAATATTATCAGGGGTTTATGCAGCTCTGTAGATATAAAAAGGAATTTGAGTGCTTGTTTCTTTTCTTTCTTAACCAATGTCATTCAGCATATGAAGAACTGATTACATGCAGTAACTGGTGCCATCATCTTTAGCTGCAATAATTGTAACCAAATACTTGTACAGTAATTGGAGAGATTAGTCTTGCATGTCACTGTGTATTCATTTTGAGCCATTTCTTCATGGAAAACCAAAGAAAGATACATGTACAATTTTTCTGTATCTTTCAAACTGGTAGTTTCTTGTGCCCTTTCTAATGCTATTTGCTGAAGTTCTTAACCATCACATGAAAAGGGAATATAGTCCATAATCACAATGTTGGGAACCAACTGTAGCTCATAAAATACAAGGTCTTCAGAAGCTTATTCTAAAAAAAAATTAAGTCTTTTTTTTGTCCATTTGAGGAGTCTTCTCAAACACAATGGTAAAAACCTGCTCAGAATACGCTTACTGTATATATCTTTTCTTTTTTAACATCTACTATATTGCAGTAGATAATTTGTGTTGAAACTCTTTATTGAATCCATAGAAAGCAGTCTAGAATCTGCATTTTAGGAATTGTGCAACCACAGCTGTCTTGAGATAATACACTTACTGGAGATCATTAAATCATTAATATATTTCTATGCCTCTTATAAAATTCTACATTCCCTTTTTGGTATAGCTTTTCTTGATTAAATAATTAAGAACTTATGGAGATGAATTAGTTGAAAGAAATGAATAAAGTATTGTATTAAAAACTGATGAATGAAGAAAGCAGTTTCAAATAGTTTTCTCAACAGTTTGCAGAATATTTTTAATTTGTATTACATCAAATGCTGGCTTACTAGTCTTTAATCAATTTGTTTTGAATGTACTCAAAATGTACTTACTGAACATATTGCATCATGAGTGCAATAAAGAGGAAAAGAAACATGATAACAGATCTAGGACTGGTAAGTGAAGGATAAAGTCTTATAAGTAAGAAGAAGATTCTTTCATTTAGTTCAATGCTTGTAACTGTCTGGAGAGCTGCTTGTCATTGTGACTGAATACATTAAATGGTCAAAGCAGTTACTATTCAACCTTAACCTTTTATTTCACATAGTATGAATGAAGCTTGTAGTTTTGAAATGATAGTGCTAGGAAACTGAACACCAAGCTTTTGTTCCAGTAAATAAATACTATATACATGTCTCTATATATGAGAAATTGTCAGTACAATTTAAAATAGTTTATGACATTCAACTGTCATTTAAAACTGAAATTCCTAGTGTCCAGAGCTCATATCAAGGTCTCTGGCTCATAAATTTTTCCAGGTAGTGTGAATCCATTAATCAATCCTATTCATTCAGGCTTACAACACAAGAATAGATTGGTGCAGCTTTATGTGGCAAAACATAAGCAAATGAAACATTTAAGTCATTTTTCCTTGAGATTTTTTAAGTAAAGAAAAATAACAAGGAAAAACTTACAAGCATAAGAATATACTTAGATGAGAAAAGACTTTATATAGAGATGAGTAACATGCTTGGGGTTCATTGATTTGGAAGCTTGGCTGAAAAACTAGAAGAAGTGATATACGATAAAGGAAAGTAGCAATAGCAATAGCACCTAGACCACTTATATACCATTTCATAGTGCTTTACAGCCCTCTTTAAGCATTTTGTATATTGCCTCCAACAGTCTGGGTCCTCATTTTACTGACCCGGGAAGGATGGAAGGCTGAGTCAACCTTGAGCTGGTCAGGATCAAACTACTGGCAGTTGGCTGAGCCTGCAATACTGCATTCTAAACACTGCTCCACCACTGTCCTCAAAATGAAGTAGACCTCCAAATGAAAAGGCAGAGCATATACTAGGTAATAGACAGTAAATTTCCTCTCATATTTGGCATGTATAGGAAATATATTATATATTCCCTGGCATTAAGGAAGTTTACTATTTTCTGGCATTAAACTTTCTGCTAAATAAATAGAAGCAGAGCAGTATTGTTGTCCTCAAAATCTTTCTTGCCTTGGTTCTATTATTTGATTCTGATAGAATTTCATCTTTGCTGTTTTGATATTTTGGACTGGGCCCTTAAGATCTAATGGAGGAATAAATGTGGAACAAGTGAATGAAATAGCAAGAAGAAAAAGAAAAGAAGGACCAAATAAATCAAGGCTACATGGAATTGATGAGATTCTCAGAAAAATGGGAGACGTTCAAATAATATTAGACAAGGTATGAATCACTACAGACATGTCAGAAACCATGATGGTTTGCAAGGTTAAAAATGCATGGGGATGTATAGGTAATGGTGTTGGTAGCTTTCCTTTTTTGTTTCTCATTTCCTAGTACCTTGTCTTACTATTCCTTACTCATTTGCATAATGTTGCTTCCTCTAAAAGAGAATAAAGTGATGGATATTTAAACATAAATGAATTGAGAGCACAGGTAAAATCGAGTACCAGTTTGCCATAGAGGTTAAAGACATTGGATTAGAATCTGGGAGAGTGTGAGTTCTAATCCTGCCTTATGCATGAAAAACAACTGATTAACTTTCATTTTTCCCTTTCGATTTTCAGAGAAAGCAAGGGCAAAACATTTTCAAAATAAATATTGCCAAGAAAACAGCAGAGAATTGTCAAGACAGTTGCTAGGAGTCCAGACTCATTCAAAGATGCAAACACACACATGTGCAAATATACACTGTGAAGTTAAAAATAGAAGAGAACAAATATAATAATGGGATAAACTGTTATTGGTGAATCTGAAGCATTAAAAGAACAATGTTTCTAATTTTTTAAGTTCTAAGGTCATACTGCTGAGATAATTTTTAATTTTTAGTTTTCTTCTAAAAATACTAAAAGAAGTAACTTGCTAACTATGTATTCCTTACGACTACCTGCCAAAATCATAAGCAAAAGCAATTTGTTCTTTAACAGAAAAAATCATAGTTATAGTGAAATTGAGAGAATAGGCAGAGGAGCAATTAAAGTAAAACTCTGAGTCCTAGCAATGAAACATATGAAAGTGGAGCTGATTAATAAGTGAACAGTGTCAGTGGTACAATTAGGTAATTTTAGATTCTGAATATAATGGCCTTCTGTGTATTGAAAAGTGATGAGCTACATGCAGTCTGTTTGGGAGCTCCTGTGTATCTCCAGCTGAAAAGAGCCCTGCTTGGTTACGCCAAAGAATGTCATTCATCAGTGAAGTGCCCTAGATAGATCAAACATCTGGCCAGGAGAGGTAATTCTGACTGAAGTAGTGAATTTCATTACAGACATAAATACAATATTCTCTTAAACTGTTCAGCATTGCTTCTCTGAATTTGACAATAAACTTGCCAAAGCAATATTGGGCATTGTGTTACAGCGTAGATCCATTTTTTCTTAACACAATTGGCACATTTCTTTTCCATGCAATGGAATGTAACATTTTGTTCAAAGCATCACTTCTTTTTTTTCTTCTTTCCTGTGATAATTAACTAACATATCCTTGTTTTTTTCTATCCTTTTTTCCAGCTCGCCCATAAAAAGTCACCAAGAATCATGATTGAAAGAGTCTGTGAATGGCTACCAGCTTTTCTGTTGGTCCTGCTTTACCTAATCTTCAAGTGGTATGTTACAGTTCATTGTGTCAGTAGATCTCCTGTGAAGAATAGCTTGGAGGTGGTGTGTTGTGTTTAGATATCATGTCCCAACTAAAAGCATCAGTTTATTGCTACTAGGTCAATTTATTTGCCTTAACTTTTACAAAGTGAAGATCTCATGATAACTAAATCAAGAGTGGGAAGATACAACATTTTCAGTAAAACATGAATCAGTTTCAAGAATTGGCCTTGTAATTAAGGAACAAAGGGTAGTGAATATAAAAAAGTAGAAAGTAATTGTTTTCAAAACAATTTGTAACATGAATAACCTACTTAATGTGTCCACCATAAACATAGTTATTTGGTTCATGGTTCATCAATTCAGTGTAAAGAACTTTTGGGGGGGGGCACAAATGAACATGGGTGTCCTTAGTTTTGGCTGATTTCATTAAAATTATGAAAACAGCATTATGCTATAAATTCTTCCCATTTGAGATGTGCTATAACAGTGGTTCTCAACTGTGGGTCGGGACCCCATTTGGGGTCGAACGACCATTTCACAGGGGTCGCCAAACAACGCAGTCCGCCATTTTTTCCCCCTTTTCCTTAGCTGTGCTACTCCCTTTTATTCTATTGGCTTTTGAAAGCCAACAGACTAGACTCTCTTGAATAGAGTCTAATTCTATTGGCTTTCAAAAGCCAATAGGAATTGTCCAGGCTGTCTCTGCCCTACTGAGCCCGCCAAAAGTCCCATTCTGCAAATGGTGCTGCACCAGTTGAGTAGTCCTCAACTTACGACTGGTTGAGTAGTCCTCGACTTACGACGGGTTGGGGGGCCGCGGCATTAAAAAGGTTGAGAACCACTGTGCTATAATGTCACAGTAATGGATAATATGTGGGGCTAACATTGTGACATGCATGGTATTGCTTTCATCAGACTTACTTTTTGGCTCTTCCCTGCAGATTCTGCTGTAAATGATCACATTCCATTGCATTAGGACATTTTCTAGAGCTGTTACCAGTATTTTTTTCCCTCTTCTTTTCTTGTGTGTAATCAGATCTCAAAGACTGCCTAGATAAGTCCCTGCAGTTTTCTTGGAAAGGTTTTTCAGAAGTGGCTTGCCATTGCCTCCTTCCTAAGGGTGAGAGAAAGCGACTAGCCCAAGGTCACCCAGTTGGCTTTATGACTAAAGAAGGACTAGAACTCTCCTGGTTTCTAGGATGGTGCCTTAAGCACGACACCTAATTGGCAACTAACCAAGATCTAATCATAGATTCCTATACATTTGCAAAGTTGTAATCATTGTAAAAATCATGTGGATTTTTTTTACAGTTCTGCAAAACAGTGTAGATTGGTGTAGAATAAAATAGGCAGAGGAGAAGGACAATTAAGAAAAGTGAATGTAAAATTGATGACCAAAAAAAAAAAAAAATTGAATTGAAGGAGGCAAGCAAACATGATTGATAAAGAAGGTATTATTTTAAATGGAGTAAATAGAATAGAATGAAATCGTCCACAGAAGTGTTTGGTGTTTGAAATAAGAACCAAAAGAAAAGAAAAGAAACAATCATCTTGGAGGAGAAGCAGGATAATTACATTGGAGGAAAGTAATTTATAAGCCAGCATAAAATGAAAAGACAGCAAAATCTGGCCAAGACGTTTTTGAAAATTGTAAGGATGCTGAATCATCCACTCTATTGCCTGTTTTTTTGGTTTATGTTTTTTATGCTTATTAAAATACTGTATGGACAATTTTGCTTTGTACTAGAGTGCTAATCTAGATTATATTTTGGTTTTATTTTGATTTTATTATTTTTAGAACGTTTAGGATTGGATTCCAAATATAAGTTGATTTGCTTTCCATGTTTCAATGTTTTTTTTTTAAATTTAGATTACACATATCTTTGACTTTATGTAGAATTTAGGGGAAATTTCATCATACTTTGGGAAAAATGTTGGTATAAATTTTACTAAGCATACAGTATAAAATACCCTGTGTTCTTTTGTAAATCTCTTTTGGAAGATTTCAATACCTGTGTTACTGTATTTCCAGTACTATGAAAGTGCCAGAGACATCTGGAAATAGCTTTGTATGGTCTTCCTCTACTAGCTTCCACTGCATAATGGTCTGTAGTTTGAATTATGTATAGCTGTATTTCACATTTATAACCTTGTCTAATGTTTGATCTCTACTATTGAACGTGTTTATAGTTGTATCTTGAACTAAATTTTATTTGTTTCAGGCATGAACATGTGCAGTTACTATTTGATGGATCTGATGTTGCTCTGATTCAAAGGGTCATCATCTTCTTAATAATGTTGTTTGACATTTTGACATTTGCCCTTATGTAGCTTGACAACATATTTTTCAAGCAACATAAATAGATAATCTGGTCTTAAATGTGCCTTAAATGTGACTTGCTCATGTTTCCATACAGTCAGTAGAAATTATATTCAACAGCTTGCACATATTTTTAATAATGGCAAAGGCTTTAAATTCATAATGGATGGATGTACTAATCTTTAATGGATAGAGGAGCATTAGGGATCTATCATAATTCAATATCTAGGCTTTCTTTCTTGAAAAAGTGAAAACAAAGGTTAATAGACTAATCCTTTTAATTATCCCGAGTTCTTCATAAGGGTACATAAATTTGTTCTACATCACCAAGAAATAAGCAAGGCTAATCATCCATGTGTTCTTACTCATAAATCAATTATCACTTTGTTCCTGCATACCAAGACAGAGTGAAGTTTATCTGTAGCTAAAAATATAGTTTACTATTTGTAGTGGTATCTTTCAATTGTTAATGAACAAAGCTTTACAGAAGAAATGAAATAGAACCATATTCCCCAATTTTCAGTGTAAATGAAACTAAGGAATGGAAAGCAGAGAAATACTTTTGCAAATCTTCCAGTTCACAGGATCTTAACCCTCTTATTTTCATGACTTATTGTGGACCTCCCATCTGGACTTGGGGAGAGAGACTGAGGAACGCAAATGTTCCTGTGCATAAAACCAGCTACTTCTTTGTGTCGTTCAGTGAATCCTGTACCTGCCTGCATCTTATACCCTGCTACTATATGTTAGACTGTCTCTGAGATGTCTCTGCACAGTCTGTACCTTGGGCCTTGTCTAGACTCATAGATCTCTGCTTCTGTGGATATTGTGCCTGTTCTTGTATTGGTATGATCAGTGCCTCAGTGCTGTCTTTTAGTCCAGCCCTTTCTAGGTATTGGTAGGATTTCCAAATGTCATAGGCTTTCCTGAAGTCAATCTAGTCTGTGTTCAGATTGGCGTGCCTAGATCTTGAGTGTTGAGTGACTGCTTTATTTAAGGGCAACTGGTGTTTTGAGCCTCTGGTGTTCCCTTTGCACTTCTGAGTTGTGTTCATGTGCTGATCCATATGTTCTTGTAACTTGGCAGCTTTAATGCTGATAGGACTTTCCATGTGGTGGGGAAGTAGGTTATTACCAGAAGTTGGATGCTGCTGTTCCCTTGTGGGGATCTTGTATAATGAGCACTGTCCTTCCTTGTATTAGCAAGTGTGGGTAAGAGCCTGCTACCAGCAGCTGGTTCATTTGTGCTGCTAGGCATTCATGCATTACTTTTAGCTTTTTTAACCTTTAGGTGTGGATCATGTTCAGACTAGGTGTTGTTTGGGTGTCCAGGCCAGGTACTGTTCAGCTTTCATGGTGTTGACACACTGTTGGATGTCTGCTATTGTAATTGTGACTGGTACCTGGTTTGCTATCAGATCCTGCAGCTTCCTTATCTAGATTCAAACCAGTACATTGGTATGAGTTTTGGTTGTAGTAGGGCTTGTAGTAGATGAGAGCACTATTGATATTTTCTAGCATACTATCTGATGGGATTTGGTTATTGGTTTTGAGAGTTGATTGTAGTTAGTTTATCCATGATCTTATACCTCATATCAGCTGATATATTCTGTAATACAGAGGTGGCAGTAATGTTCCAGTTTCACATATTAGCTACATATCCCATTGTTCTTCTGGGTCTTCTTGAGTCCACGTTGTAATGTGTACATGCTCTATCTCAAGTTATGACTTCAGCTTCCTCTTCACTATGTTGAAGAATTAGGTAACTAGCTGTTCCTCAGTTATTATGGATGTTGATCTTCTGTTGATTCATCTCATTAGTTTCATATATCCCATCCCATTAGATTTCCTGTTGTGGTAGCATTCCATCAATTCCTGGATCTCTTGTCCCATTCATGTATGCTGTGTTCCAGTAGCCCACTTATCATCAGATTGTTCTGGTTTCCCAACATCTGACATGGACCTTGTTCATCAGGGTAATCTTCAAGCTACCATAACTCTCTTAATTCATGTCATTCTCATATCTTGAGATAAGCAGGTGAAGCATTAGGAAGTTTTTGCTCAACTGATAAGATAGGTACCAATCAAGATTTGTGGCAGTCTATCCTCTATGTCAGAGGTCTGACAACCTTTCCGGGTTCATGGACCGGAGGGAAGGAGAGCAGCTTCCAAATTGATGTATGCACATTTGTGCCCCACTATGCATACTGGCATGGCACTAGCAGCCCCACTAGCACATATGGAATGCGCTGGTATGTGTGTATGCGCAAACAGCTGTGCCACCCATCCGGGCTAGCAGTGCATTCGCAAATGGTCCGCGGACACCTGCACCATGCTAGCATCCCCATTCGTGCCTGTGTGTATGTGCAGACGCTAGTGCAAGTGTGGCAGGAATGCGTGCCCATGTGTGCCTGCACTGGCCAGCCATTTCTATGGGCCGCTGGCCAAGAGCCCATGGCTCAGTCCCAGGCTGCGGCCCATAGGTTGGAGAACCCTGCTCTATGTTATCTAGCTGCTCCAATTATTTGTTTGTGTGTATATGTACATACACACGCAATCACACACACATTATACACACACATATACATGCACTTACCACACCACACATATATGTATGTATATGTATATATAAATTATATAGCCATCCTTTTCAATGAATGTGATTCTGAATGGCATACCACTAACA